CGATCGGAACCACAAATATATATCATCCTTTATCGCATTGTGAAGGAAGAAGTTAGACAAAGTAGGAGTGAAAGATCACAATGTGGATGTACCACCTTCATGTTCGCACCATGCATCCAACTTCATTCTTTCATTGGGTCTTTAGTTCTTCTGCAGTTCACCAAGAATCAAGACTATGATTTGGCAGCGTTTCACGTATGGGCATGGAATTCTTTCCTCGACAACATTTAAAAGGTGTACTTTGGCACTTTCGTTTCTACTGACAGTGGGCGTTCTTTTCACATAAAGACATCACCGCAACCTTCGGGCCTGTTGTTGCGTCATCTTGCAAGAACTGACTTGTTTGGCCATGTATTTGAAGTTGTTCCACTCATATCAATCTCTTGAGTACTCCATTGCTTCATTGAACGGAAAGAAGAAAGATTGATCCATGCACTGGGGCCACAAGTAACATGGCAAGAAGCAGTTTCAGAAGGTTTGAGGAGGTAAACAACATGCTTCAGTGTGATATATCACAGGTGAAATACCCATTAACTTTTGCTTTGAAGGGTGTCCTGGCTGAAGATTGGAGATGCCACACATACAAATAGGATATATTTTCCTCTTCGTCAAACTTCCTCCTTGGGTCTCTCACTTGCTTATGACTATCAGAAGATACCACTCTCGTGGCTGTAGATTGGCTTGCTTCGTCATCACATACCAAAGCATCAGTGCCTTCAAACTTCCCATTGTGACAGTTGATTTATGACATTCATCACCTCCCTCTGTATCAATAATGATAGTTGATGGCTTCACGTGATGGTAGTGTTATTATGAGAACTCATAGACTATGAAATCAGGCGAGCTTCAGTTCAGGCCGGCGAAGAACTCCTTTCAACGTGAAGTATGGTGAATAACTCCGTCAACGTGAAGATTGGCGAACAACTCCTGTCAACGTGAAGATTGGCGTGCATAAATTTTTTTTTTTTTTTCTTTCAGCAATATCTTGACAGAAGGCCAATTTTTTTTTTTTTTATCAACACCTCGATGATGAGCAGATTTTTTTTTTTCCTTTCAACGACACCTTAGCAGTAAGTCAAAATTTTGTTGCAGCAATACCTCGGCGGCGAGGAGATTTTTTTTTTTTTCATGACAGCTTGATCGATGACGAACCAGATTCTTCAGCAACGCCTAGGCAATAAGTCGAATTTATTTATTTCTTCCAGCCACACCTCAACAACAAACCAAATTCTTCAGCGACGCCTTGGCGGCAAATCATTTTATTAGCGACACCTTGACGTCGAACCAAAAATCTTTTCCTTTGCAACGACATTCTGGTGACGAAGCAAAATTATTCTTTGCAATTATACTTTGTCGACGGATCAAATTTTCTTTTGCAGCTACAATTCGGCGACGAACCAAAATTATTGTTTGCAGCTACACTTTGGCGGCGGACCTAATTTCTTTTTTTGCAACTACAATTTGGCAATAGACTGAAATTTCTTTTACAGCTACAATTTGGTGGCGTGCCAAGTTGACAAGGTGCGATGAACACTTTTGATATTGCATGATGAGTGACAATAATATCTTGACAGCAAGTGAAGTTGACAAATTGCGATTAGCCCTTTTGATATCTTATGACGAGCACACTTTGCCATTTTGCAACTCCAAGGAGATTTTTTTTTTTTTTTTTTTTTTGTGGACTGAACTTGGAACAGACCTCCAAGATACCTACGTACTTTGAATAGGGATCAAGTCATTACGTAGTTCAATTTTTTTTTTTTTTTTCGAAAACAGTTTCTACTCGTGTCAAGAAGTGTCATTTTTTTTCAGGTAGACAGTTTAAACTCGTATCAAGGAGTGTCATTTTTTTTTTTTTGGAGACAATTTAACATTGTATCAAGAAGTTCTTTTTTTTTTTTTTTTTTTTTTTTTTATGTAGACAGTTTAAACTCGTGTCAAAGAGTGTCATTTTTTTTTTTTGGAGATAGTTTAAACTCGTATCAAGGAGTTCTTGATTTTTTTTAGGTAGACAGTTTAAACTCGAATCAAGGAGCTCTTAATATTTTTTTTTCAAGTAGACAGTTTAAACTCGTGTCAAGGAGTGTCATCGACAGTTTAGGCTCGTATATGGGAGCACTTCAACTTTAATTATTCTTTAACTTTCCAAAAATCAAACGATAATCCAAGCCTATGCGGGTATGGACTATCTCGTCATCACTTTGAGGATTTTCTTCTTGGTTTCCTTGACTTAATGCCCCTTGTGATTTTGCATTTTTGGTTGAAGTTATTGTTGTAACACGGTGCGTTTCTTGATGTAAGTCTTTCGAGATGATCCTTACAATAAAAGATGAAGCTATTTCGTCATCCGAGTTAGGAAGTATATTATCTTCTTCTTCGGACTCACTTTTCTCATCTTCTTGAAGGTTGTCGGATATATCAGGAACATCTTCCCTAGCACCATGATTTTCCCTGCTAAGCTCCAAGTTGTGGGCTCGAGTAACAAGCTCTTCAAATGTGCGAGGTTTAATCCCTTGTAGGATATAAAGAAGCCCCAATGCATTCCTTGCATACACATTTCCACAGCAGAGATTTCTGACAATCGGTCTTTACAATCAAGACTGAGTGCTCGCCACCGATTAATGTAGTCGATTACAAGCTCATCCTTCCATTACTTCATGTCAGTCAATTCTATCATACTAACAGTACGACGAATGCTATAGAACCTGTTCAAGAATTCTTGTTCCATTTGGTCCCAACTATCAATTGATTCTGACTTCAGGTCGGTGTACCATTCGAACGCGTTTCCTTTAAGAGAGTCGACAAACTGTTTAACTAGTAAGTCCCCATCAGTTCCGGTATTGTTGCAAGTCTCGACAAAATGGGCAATGTGTTGCTTGGGGTTGCCTTTTCTGTCAAATTGTTGAATTTTCAGAGGTTGGTATCCTACATGCATCCTCATACTATCGATTCTCTTTGTATAGGGCTTTGAGTATATGAGAGTGCTCAGTGAGATGCCTCTATATTGGGCTCGGATTGTATTCGTTATCATATTTTGCAATTGTTCGACAGATAATGAAGAGACTGAAGAAGCATTATTGGTTTGACCAGTCGCCTGTTTTGTCACTGGCGTCTGTTTAGGGTCCTCCATGCGAGTACCTTGTGTTGTAAAAGTAGGATTCCCCGTCGACAGTGCTGTGGAAGATGTAGGATTCCCAGACGGCACTAGTGATTCACCGAAGGTCTGAACTTCCAATTTGTTCATCAGTGTAGCGATTTGCAAGTCCTTCTCTGCAACAGTCTTTGTGAGGTTCTCAATAGCACGAGACATAATTGATAGTTGTTCCTTTACCGTGGCTGTTCCAATCATCATAGCAACGACCACATCTGAGTATGATAGGCCTTGAGAGTCAACGTTCCTTGAAGTGATTGATTGCTCTGAAGTCTGACGTGGTGACTCTGGGGGTGAACCGATACTAGAGTGAGCTTCAGAGATGGATTAAAGTGAGTTTGGTGGCAGAACCTCCCCTGGAACAACGTCAAGGTTCTTGAAATGTTGAGTTTTCATGTTCGCCAGCTTTGCAGGATTAGCTTGCACCAAGTCTTGCTAACATCTGGATAAAGCGATTGCCTGGGATTGCTCCGTGTAATAGGGCCACCTAAGGTACTTCCATCACTTAATGTGTTTTTGGCCTTCGTGCCACTTTTTATGGTGGTTTTGGTGTTAACCTTTGCAGCAACGATGTTCTTTGGGGCTTTCTTGTCAGTCTGAGCCTTAAAGGGAGTTATAGAGTTTGACAGAGAAGAAACTTGACGGTAGAAGAAAGAGATAAGAGGCAAAAGATGTCCCACCGGGCGTGCCAAAAATTTATACACACAAATTTTGTTCTCTGCAAATAAAGACAAAATATAGGCAAAATATAATATTTTATTAATTTATGAAAATCGGAGTACAATCCTCTGTAATATTATTCTTTGCAAAGAATACGGTCCTTTGATTCGGTCTCCTTTTTGGTTGGTTGGATCTAAGGGCTGCACGAGCTTGATCTTGAATCACGGTGGAATTTGGATGAAGAATGGCATAATTTGATGTGCTTATTGTTGATCATCGTGGAATTTGATGAAGAACGATACGATTTGATGTGTTTGGTATTCTTCGTATTTGGGTTTGGATGTTAGGGATGAGATTTTGTATTTCTCTTTAGAATTCTGGATTTCTGAATTCTGAATTTGTGTCTAAATTTTTGGACTTCTGAATTCTGAATTTGTGTCTGAATTTTTGGACTTCTGAATTCTGAATTTGTGTCTGAATTTCTAGACTTATGAATTTTGAATTTGTGTCATTTGTTGAATTTGAGGAAGAACGACACGTCTTTGGTTGTGCTTGTTGTTCTTCGTCTTCAGAGAGGAGAGAATTTGTTGAATTTGATGAAGAACGGCACGACTTTGGATGTGCTTGGTGTTCTTCGCCTTCAGGTTTGCCCTCGGAATTTCTGGCCCTCTGGATTTCTGAGTCTCTCAATTTTTAGACCTTCTGGATTTTTGGACTCTGAATTTGTGTACCCCTTCCTTCTTCCTCCAGGCCTCTATTTATAGGCTTCGTGGATCCATAGGATGATGACACGTGTTATCGCCTGATAAGGATAAAATCATAACTGGCCGGGCCGGGTATATTATGATAAATTTCCTTAAAAATAATTATTCCAAATATATTTTATTTAGAATAATTATCTTTTTATTTAACCATCTGGGATGGGCTAATTAAATAATTTAAGTGGACCAAGCTTAGGTCAATTAAAAAAGTTAATTAAACATTGACTCATATTTAATGGGTTAATTTGTCAAAACCAAAGTCCACTAAAATTTTAGTGTCTATAGTTGTTGTTATGGTCGTTTTGTCTAATTGGTGTACAATAAATGGCAGTTATTGTTCCTTGTTGATGTGATTTTTGCAATAGTACTTTTTGTTCTGGTACCGAAAGGCTTCTCTTTGACCCAAAAGACAAAATATTTATTTTTAGGTATCCTGATTTATGAGCAAGAGATGATGATGACAATGGAATAGTCCTATTCTAAGGGCAGAATAATAATGATGAGCACTACAAAACTACGCACGCCTTCTATGAATTTGTGTTGAAAGATTGTTAGAAATTATTCTATGGATATCTTTTAACTCAATAGCATTTTTATGTCAACTTTGTCATGTTTAATGTGTTTAGTAGATTATTAAAGATAGATATAGGTATGCCAAAAAAAAATATCACAATAGTTTTTTTTTTTTTTTTCCCTATTTTGATTTTATTTCTAGGCTTTACATTTGGGACTTTTGAGGATTGGTTTAGGTGATATAAATGTGGACTACTGGGCTAAGACCCACAATAAAGGATAAAATGACAGAGGAAGAAAAAGATTGGGCCAGGCCAGTACAATAATATGAAAAAGAGTCGGGTGGGTGAGGAGCCCAAGACAATGATTTCCAATCCAGCAATTCTCCACCCACAAAGAGAAATACCGAGAATTTTATTATCAGAAAAAGGACGAAGAGAAGGGACGAGAAGCGAAGGCAAGCAAGGCGAAGCGAAGTCGGAGGGTTTCGTTACTGGTACGACGCCTCTTCTTCTCCTTCCATGTGTTGATTTTTACTAAACTTTTTACATAACTGTAGAAAATTTCAAGCTATTATTCTGTTCCGTTCTAGGGTTTTCAGAATCATTGGTTTTCAAAGTGCTTTTTTTTTTTTTTTTTTTTTTCAAAATTTGTTTACTTCTTTCATTTATCGATTTAATAAAATACCCCCCTGCTTTTGTTTTAGCAAATAATTGGCCTTTTTATTTTTGAATTTTGATGATAAAAGTCTCTCTCTTGTTATTTCATTTGCATAAATAAAATGTTTCTTTCAGATGGATATCATCAAGATGCGTAGACAGTTCTCTAAACTGCCGTTGCTTGCTAAAATTTGTAATTATTTCTTCACCTTACATTCCCTCTTTTAATTAATTGTGTCTCAATTTTCACCAATATATGCAAATAATTTTGTTTTCTTATATCAGCTATCTTTCCGGTGTCTGTAGTTACTCTGATGGGGATCGGCGCTCTGATTGCTCATGAGTACGTTTCACTCTGATGTTCAGATCTCAATTGACTAGTCATTACTTTTTATGCTAAATGAAGTTTTTGCATCTTTATTTATTTCTCAAAAAAGCCTTTGGATGATTTAAGTGTCAGTTCTGTAGAGTTTTCACTAATGCATCATTGTTGCAGCTTGTATTAATATTTGTACTCATATGATGTTCAAAATTTTGTATATGGCTATATCTAAGAGTTGTGTTGGAAGAATTGTATTATTTGGCATAATGTCTTAATTTGTTTGTTTGTTTCAATTACAGGAGAAATCAACTCGTGAAATATCTCCAAAAACGGTTTGTCCTCTTCTCTTGAAACTTCAATAGATTCTTTTCTTTTTATCTATTGGTCTCGCCTTGTATCAGGTGGATAGTTAAATATCTCACCTTGACGTGTGGTCTTCATAATGGTCTACAAATTCTAATACTATGTCTTTGTGATGTGTTGTTTCTCTGGAGCATCTTCACTTCACACTGCACTACTTAAAAGATTGTCTCATGCATTCTCACTCACGAATCTTTATGCTTGCGGAGTTCTGCGGTTGGACTCTCCACACGCATTGATCTTTGGGTTGGGTTGGGGTGCACTTGGACTTCTAGGGTTTTGTTGTTTAGTGAGACTTGGGATACCTTGAGGTCTCTCTTTTTGGTCAACCCCAGGGCACTATAAAGAGAGACAAGATGTAAATTTCTTTACAGTATCTCTATTACAAATTCACCACACACCATTATCTTGTGGGCTTATGGAATTTATCACCAACAAATGCACCTGTCATCCTCAAATTCCTCCTTTACATATCTCTTTCCCTTGGAAAATTTGTGTTGGCTTCTACCTACTCGTAAATCGTGACACAGATGATAAGTGTGTGAGAATTGTCACAAGTGGCCTTGGGTTTTCGAGGGTTTGTTGTTTGTCATGGTTGTTGCCACTCTCTCTCTTATAAGGCCGTCTTGGTGTCCAATCTGGCCTAATCTACTTGAATCTCCACTATCTTAGATGTCGTATCTCCATCTCTAAGTGCTTACACTTTATTTGTGACTCCATGAGTGAGTATTCCCCAAATAATGGTAGGCAAGAGTACCATGACTTTTGTGTTTGACGTCACACTGACATGTTGGTGGTGTATGTTACGCTGCTAACAATTCCTTTTAGGTCCAAGGTATGCCCCTTTCAATCGTCTCTTGCTTTTCATGCATTAATTGTTGCCATTGCATCACAATGAATGCTTTACAATCAAGATTTTGACAATACCAACTAAAATTTCTAATATTCTATTGAATTTTTTTAATTACAATGCCTTCATAATTTTGTATTTAATCCACCTAATTTTTTACAAAGTTGCACTTATGTGCCCCAAAGGTAAAGGAAGATTATTTTGGTGATTCGACGTTACAACTTTCACTTCACTTAATGTCTTTCGGGGTTAAGACATGCAATTATAATGTTACTCTGTCAATATCATTGTTGATTTTGGAGATTTTGTTGTTGAACTTGTGGTCAAGTCAAGCTAAGTGGAGAACCATGCATGATGGCTAGTTCGCACATTGCTTGTGTTCTTTTAAGGTCTCTAAAGCAATGGTCAAGTGCTTCTCATGTTCATCTATAAACTTTGAGATTTCATGAAAAAATTGCAAATGATCTGAACATACATGCCCTAAATACTTTGTCATGTTTTTATTTGACTTGGAGCAAATTCACGAGTGTATCCCATATGATCTGAATGTTTGGAATACAATAGGAGTTCGTGAGCTTCAGTCCTCAGTAGTGCCTTTCAGGGTAAGGGTGTGATTGGGAGGTGGTCAGAATCAATTTCTTCTTTAGGCGTGGTAGTTTCTAGATATCTTTGAATGCCACTTTTTTAGCTCTCATCCAGAAGAAAAGGGGCTGTAGAAGTCTAGGATCTTAGACATATTAGTTTGGTGGGCAGTCTATTCAAACTAATAGCTAAAATAATAGTTGAAAACCTTGCTTTGAGATTGAAGGAAGCAATGGATGGAGTGATCTCGAAAGTACAGAATACCTTTGTTGGTAGGCAACAACAAATTCTAGATTCGATTTTGATAACCAGCGAATGTGTTGATTTGATTCTCGACTGAGTAGTGGGGTATCGGGTGTGACTAATAAGCTTGAGGCTTCTTGTTATACATTCTAGAGAGGATGGTTTTTGCAGGAAATGGAGGACGTGGATCAGATTTTGCATCTCTACGGTATGATTCTCAATGTTGGTGAATTGGGCACCTTCTGGATTCTTCTGTATCTCAAGGAGTCCAAGGCAGGGAGATCCTGTGTCCCCTTTGTTCATTTTTTGTGGTGGAGGCATTCAACATACTGATGAGGCGGGCCGTGGCTGTGGGATATAACAGTGGCTTCAGGGTGGATAGAGGTCCTTCTAGTTAGATGGAGATTTCTCAAATCTCCTCTTTGTCGATGATACGATTTTGTTTTGTGAGGCGAACAACGCTCACATGCGGCATCTTCGATGTGTTGTGGTTTGTTTTCAGACCATGTTGGCTCGTGTTCGTTCGGTAAGTAAATAATCCTAGATTGAATACATTTTTAGAGCTTCATATGCGAGATAGGGAATCAGTAGGCGTAGGTGTATTAGTGTGGGCTGGGATTTCTTTCCCAAATTCCATAGTAATTGCAGTAAAATGGGCTTTAAATATGTACTAAATCACACGAATATACAATATAATGGGCTTTAAATGAAATTTTGGAACTTCATAATTCAGCATATCGAAAAGCAAATCCCAAATGGATTGGTTGGAGTATCCTTCTTTTTCTGCTGGAAAGGATAGGGTTTGGGGAAGATGGACGAAGTGGATCGAGTTTTGTATTTTCTCAGTGAGATTCTCGGTCCTCATGATCCATTCTTCAACGGGTTCTTCAGCAGTTAGTTGGGTTTGAGGCAAGGTAACCCTCTCTCTCCTTATTTGTTCATCATTGTAATAAAGGAGCTGAGAGTAAACAATGCCGAGTTCAGCTCGTTAAGCTTGTGAAAAAGCTTTTAGAAGGCTTATATAGGTTTAGTACTTATTTAAAGCCCAATATATTGTATACTTTGTGATCAAATATAATGTTGGGCTTTCCAACTACATGCTTTTAATTTTCCTGATTCTTATCCACAATGATGAAAACTCCTGTTGATGACTACTACAAGCACCCCCTGAAGTTGGGTCATGCCTTTCCATTAATTGCATAGATAGCCTCTAAACACTTTTAACACTGAGCATTCCTTTTTATGTAAGTCTCCAGTGCTTAGAATCTGAGACACCATTCTCTAATAGAGAGTTGGAGGATTAAATCAACATGTCTTCTATTGAAAACACTAGTGACCAATTCTTTTCTCCATTTTTTAGTTGAATTTTTATTCAAACCTGCAACTTCATGAATTTCACTCCCATTATATGAAGTTGTGACAGCAAAATTAGAATGATCCTCCACTTTCATTACCTTTAAAAACGATATCCGTCTAGATGTCTTAGATCTACTGGATGAGTCCATAAAATCCACCATGCTTAAGCCTCCATGCCCATGAACGGCCTTGTTCTCACAAAGTTGATTGCTGGACCAAAACTTTATAAGCTTGCGAATCTTCTCTAAGGAAGCTGAAACTCTGCGCTGTGTAAGTTGGCAGAGAAGCCACGACCTTTAAAGGCAATAACTCCAGGAAAAAAATGATTTCACTTGACTACAACCAATGTAAACCAACCTAATCTCTTAAAGCACGAAAAGAAGGGCTCAAGGGCACTTGTGAGTAAGGGTCATAACTAGTGCATTAAACAATGTAACAAATTTAAACATTGCATCGCTCCTCTCCTGCTGTTTTTACATTATCTCAAATTTCCTCTTCTTTTGGGCATTTAAATTCTTCATTTTTAGTTCCTTATTCTTTTGGGTTTATGGTTTTATTATACTTATCAAAAAAAGAAAAAAGAAGAAGATGGTTTTATTATAGATCTACTGTGGATTATAGAGTTTTCTTT